TAGTGCATATGCAGTACGGATATATGTAGACAGATATATATACAGTACATATATATATATTAGTATTCTCCAGAGAAACACAACCAATAGCACACAGATAGATATAGAAATATAATTATACATATCTACATCTATTTCTCTATCTGTGTATGTATATATACACACACACATATATATATATATACACACACATATATATATATACAGGACATTACCATGGGAACTGAATTAGACAAACAATTTTGTAAAAGGAGAACAAATATATGGGACTCATATTTCCTGATTTTAAGACTTATTATAAAAGCACAAGAACCAAGAGTTTAAAAGAACAAACACAGAGATTAGTGAAATAAAAAAGAGTCTGGAACTAGACCCATGCAAATAGAATTGATCTCTTTCCTTTTTTTTTTTTTGTACTGGGAACCGAACTCAGGACCTTGTGCTTGCCAGGCAGGCACTTATGCCACTGAGCTATACCCACAGCCTCTTTTCTTTTCTCTTCTCTTCTCTTTCTTTATTCTTTTCTTTATTCCTTTCTTTAAAAGATGCACTTTTGCTATGTTTCCCAGGCTCAAGCCATCCTCCTCCTTTAGCCTTCTGAATAGCTGGGACTACAAGTGTGAACCACTGTGCCCAGCTCAAGTTGACTGATTTTTGAAACAAAGGCAATTCAAAGGTGAAAGGATGTTTTTTTAAGCCAATGGCTCTGGAACAATTAGATGTACAAATGCAAAATAATAATTATCATAAAGACAATAACATTAAACCTTGATCTATACCTCATGCCCTATACAAAAATTAACTAAAATATGGATCATTACATAACTAAATGTAAAACACAAATCTATATAACTATTAGAAGACAGGATAGGAAAAAATTTGTGTAAACTTGAGTTAGATGAGGTCATTTTAAGATATGACACTAAATTCATGATACATAAGATGTATTACCTAATATTCTTCAACTAGCAGATGGATAAATTGTGATAAATCTATTGAAGGGAATGTTATTCAGCAACGAAAAAGGACAAATTCTTGATTAACACATCATAGAAGCACCTTAAATGCATTTTTGTAAGAAAAGGAAACTAGACTCCAAACTCGGTATACCATATGATACTAGTTAAAGACAAAACAGTAGACACTGAAAACAGATTAGTGATTGTCAGGTGTGGTGGAGTGGAGGGATGGACGAATTCAAAAGCACAGCATGAAGGAATTTTGAGAATGATGAAATTATTCTGTAAGCAGTAGCTGTATAATCATATGCATTTGTCAAAAACCACAGAACTACATACTACAAAGAGTGAGTCTTACTTTATAGAATATTTTAAAAAGTCAACCAGGATGTGGGGAGAGCCTACAAAGGCATGGAGCCTGTGATAATGAATCAAATTTTGTCACAAGTGAATAATAACTACATCTAGGGGAGTAGGGAAGAAAGGCACTGCTCCTAGTGACTTTGCAACATGATGTTCTGCTTGCATTCTGAACATCTAGAAAGAATCATACACAGACCTTGCACTCAGCTGGGAAATTTGGTTTGTTTTTCTGCCAGAGGAGGGGCAATCAATTCTAAAGCTACTTTATAAGAATTCTAAGGTTGGATAAAGAAGTAAATATGCTGTAGATAATGAGAAACAGGTTTCTTATGGTCAGAGGAAGAAATTAGAAAGAAATGAAGAAATCTAGAATAAACCCTGTGATACTAGTTTACCATCAGAGGGTATCTGTATGAACTTATGGTTTAAAATATATATGCAGTAGATAGACAAAAGGATAAATACAGATATGTGCATACAGATGGGTTAGTATGTATAGACTTATATTTCCTAGCTGCAGGTCTGTAGAAAGCATAAAAATATTAATACCTTGGTATCAATGAGAACTCTTCACATCTAAGTATCAGACTCCAGGAAAAGGAAGAGACGATGAAAAAAAGAATGAAGATGTGTTATGCTTTTTTGTTTTTTTGTTTTTGTTTTTGTTTTTTTTTTTCCGGTACCGGGAATCAAATTCACGACCAGGCAGGTGCTGTGCCGTTGAGCTAAATCCTCAGCCCCTCAAGATGTGTTATGCACAAGTACCGACTCCACACATGGAATGTAAACATTATGTACTACAAACATGTATTAATTTAAAATTAAATTAAATTAAATTTTAAAAAGAAAGGTAGGTAATTTGGATGAAAAAAAGGAAATACCATAGGGATAACTGCTGCTGGGGCAAGATTCACTGATAGTAAAATTTCAAGGAGAAATAAGATATTTGCATAATCCCATACATAAATATTTATTAATTATAAATGGAAAAATACTTTGTAACTACAGCAGAGAAAGTGACAACTGGCACCTTATCCAAGGGACCAAAACTAACATTACCAGGAATACCGTGTCATTGTTGCCCATTGACACAGAACACTTTGTCTTTATGGGGAACTTTATGCAAAAATAACTGGCCACTGCTCCTCAAAAGTTTACAGATCATGAAAGACAAGGAAAACTAAGTTGCTCTCCTAAATTGGAGGAGATAAGAAGCCATGAAAATTAAATGTCATGTAGGATTCCAAGTGGAATCTTGGGATAGAAAAAGACATGAGGAAAAACACTTGGAAAATCCAAATGCAGCCTGTAGATTATTTACTAGTATTGTGCTGTGTTCAGTTCTCTCATTTGAGCAATGTGCCTTGGTTTTGCAGATGTGATCGAGAAAAGGATGTGGGAACTCTTTGTACTCCATTTGCAATACTTCTGTAGATCTAAAACAATCTCAAAAAGAGGAGTTTTACTTCCTGAAACCCCTACTAGTCAATATTTACTATTTTCAAAAGCCTTCTGAATGGATACAAAGATCTATCTTGGAATATAAAATGGTGACAAATACACCCAGATCACATTGCTGCAAATTAGGGGTGCAATTAGGAAAAGAGAATTTATGGGGAATCCCATGGGGACAGCTAATAAAACTCCTCATAGTGGCTATTCAGACATTGTATTAGAGTGAAAGAGGTATTGGGGAGTGAAAGAGATCTTTCTTTTCCTTTTTCTCATATCGAAGTCATATGAGCTATTTGTTGTATTTTTAAGTAAGATCCAAGTGTTTCACAGCCAACTGATTTTTAAAAATTGATTGGAATCTATTCTAAAAGGGAAAATGGTAAGCAGCAGAATATAAAATGCAAACCAATCTATTTCCAAAGAGCTGAGGGAAGCTGCCAAAATGAAAGTTGGCAGAAAACAGTTTACTAAATCTCTAAAGAAGAAAAAAAAGGCTATATTACAAGTCCTATAAATATTCCAAGAGTGGTAGGTAAAGTGTGTTTAATACTGATGAACAAAGTTTTAGCATGTATTGGAAAAACAGTTTCTAATATAAATTACGGACGACTGGAAGTTATCTGCAAAATTTTATACCTAAGTACTTACAGATGTAATTTATTTTTCTGACAGCACCGCCTGTGTAATGAAAGTTGCTTTTAATAAAACATGAATGCAGTTAGGTTTTGCCAATTAGGTTCAGAGGAGTTGTAATCAGTCTGATTCAAGTTGATATGTAGTTCCTTAAATTCAGCACTGACCCATAGAATGGCTTCAGTCTTTCTAAAGTGTTCATGAAAGATGAACTCACAAAGCTCTGACTGCCCAGGCAGAAGAGAGGCAAACTTGGCTAATTTAGGGCACACCTTCTGCCCCTAAGGGACTCCAGTAGTGGTGGCTGTAGTACGCCATGTGCTCTGGGCTCAATTTTAGCAATAAGGTAAGGCCATTCTCTATTTTCTTTTATTCATGAAAACATGGACAAACATATAATATATGCAACCATCTAATAGCCATCTATCATTTCTAAATGGATCAGCCAGAATATAAATCCTAGTTTCTGGTGTTGTAGAGATTCAAAGATTGTAGTAGAAAGGCAACTGCTTTCTTCCTAAGCATTTTAATAATCTGTCATCAGATAAAGAAGCAGCACAGCGTACTTTTCTCATAGGGGCTAAGAACATCTGTATTTTGAACTTTTCATTTGGGCTGCTGAAATTGTATAATCAAGAAATATTTATAGAGTCCCCACTGTTTACAAAACAGAGAGGACAAAGAAAGTAGTGGAAATATTATTAGACTCAACCTGAAGCCCTGTCTTTACCAGCTGCTCCAACCTCCTGGTTCAAAAGCAGTGATAAAAATTCTTGTCCTTTCTAGCTCATTAAAATGTCGTGAGGACACAAGGTAAAGGTAAAGTTTACCTTGGTAAACTTTAAGGTAAAGTTCTTAGACTCCTTATGTACACTATGCAAAAGCAAGTTATTGGTAAGTACCAGGGATAAAATAGAGGGGCTCTGTCTTTCAGAATCTTGCAAGTAGGTTGAGAAAGATGGCTGCCTCTTCCTCTCATATCTCGGGTTCCCTGTGGAAGCATATACTAAAAGGCATGATCTCACACAGTCTTGCAAAGATAAGGAAATGGAGGCTTAAGGTGTTGCATCCTTAGATACTATCACTCAGCTCATAAAAGTCTAGATAGTCTCTGCTATCAGATCTGTTAAATTCCAAGACTTGTCTGGCTTATTCGGAGACCTCCTGTGCTTCCCCACAAAGCCAATTAAGAATTAAAGAACCTAGAAGATGCTCTACATAAATGAGCTATTGAGGGACAAGCACCATGGGAATATCAAGGAGTTCCTTCCCCAGAGCTGCAGTTCAGGGAACATTTTGTCATTTCTGCCTTCCGAGTTCCAGCCTCCACAAAGTTGGCAAGCAAAGCTAGTATTTTCTTGGTATCTGCAGCTGTTACTCCCCAGACAGGAACTGAAACACGCCTAATGGTGATTCATTTATTTCCAACCCAGTGTCTTTCCTGTGCCCTGTGGTACTTCCAGGTTCTGGTCTTAAAAGGGAAATTGTCGTGTGAAATAGACACATGAAACTATTTGTTCTAAACCAATTCATCATTTCCAACTGATCTCCCCTAAAGGTACTGGAATTCCAAAGCAGAATAAAAGAACGTTTCATTCCTTAATTGTAGCTCCAAACTCTTGGTTTGTGTTCAGAAACCTATATCAGATCATGGGGACAAGCGGTGGGCAGCAGTTGCGTTCTTACTGAACCAGAGATGACAGCAGTAAATGCATTTCATCGTCCTTTAGCTTAGTTGGTTGAAGCTTATGGAGCCCTCCTGGAGAAGGAATGGAGTATTCTTCTAAGGTGAAAAGCATTTTTTGTTGAATATATGTTTATAGATTTGAATATAAACTTCTTGTGCAGGGGCTTATGAGGGACCACTATGAATAACAAGAGGCAATGGATTATAGAAATATTTAAATTGGCATAAACAGACAGAACTGGAAGTAAGATGAAATCAGTTGAAAATTTTGATATTCTACTCATTGTGGAAATTTTTTTGTTTGTATTATTTTCATAGTGAAAAGTATATCACTGAAGTATTATGGATCTTAATTACTGAGTATTTTGGTACTTGCTTAAATTTTGTATCTGAAGCAAGTGCTTTCTGGTCTCTACATAGTTATAGCACTGCACAAGACATGCCTGGCACCCTCCCAGGGACCCAAGGACTTCTGAAGACATCTGTGGATCCCCGGTGTAGTGAACTCAAGGAGGATCCTGTAGCCTTGGAGCCTACCTCCCTCTTCTCCAAAAAGCCATCAGTGCTCGCTTTGCTTTGGTAACAGAACACTGTTTTTTGTGTAACTTCTCTGCATAGAGAGGGAGAAACTGTGATCTAGTCCCTGTGCATGAGGCTGTTCAAGGCATTACTTCTCAAAATTTAATGTTGATACTAATCACTAGGAACTTAAAAACTGTAGATTCTGCTCAAACAAGTGATACGGATTTGGATATGGTTTGTATGCGGCCCTGAACGGGTAATATTCAGGAAGTTCAGGGTGAAAATTTTTGAGAGAGGGTGAAACCTTCATGATGTGGAACCTAATGCAAGAGGGTTTGGGTTATTGGGCACAACTCCCCTTGAAGGAATTATTCTTAATTCTAGCGAAAGGGTTGTTATAAAACAGCAAGACTGGCCCTTCCCTGCACTCTGGCTTTCTGCCTGATTCCATGTGATCTCTTTCTTTCTCATGCACTCCCGCTTTGTGACAGCATCTGCCACCATGTACTGTTGCCAGCAGATCTTACCAGCAAGAACTCACCAGACCCTGCTCCATACTGTCTGTAATTTCAGTCTCCAGCATTGAGCTAAATAAACTTTGCCTGTTTATAAGTTACTGAGCCTTGGGTATTTTGTTATAGTGACAGAAAATGAACTAAGATAGTAAATGTAGTTTGGAGCTTCAGATTCTGCATTTCTAGCAGGTCCCCAGGCCATGCTGATGCTGTAGCTCCCTGGAACACATAATGAATAGCAGAAAGGATTTAGAAATGGATTGAGTAGGTCTCAAAGACGTGGCTTACTTGGCCCTAGAGTTTTAAAAAAATTAATCAATTATTTGCTTATCCTTAAATAAAACCCTGAAATACATGGTAACTTTTTTTTTTTTTTTGTACCAGGAATCAAACTCACAACCTCATGCTTGCCAGGCAGACGCTATGACATTGAGCTATATCCCTGGCCCCTCTATTTGGTAACTTTGGACTAACAGTCTTGCCTTTAACAAAAGACTAGAGATGGGTTGGAACTGCTTTTGTAGACAGCACATAGGCTTTTCATTTTCCTAGATCCACATCACATAGACACATAATATACATGTACCTAAACTTTTCCTCTTCATTTGCTATTGCTCTGGATGTTATGGACCTCTGAATTTGAAATGTCTGTCTATTCCTCAGTTAGTCAATAGCACTGACTAGTATTTAGCAAAGTCAGAACCTACTTTATTGTTCCCTCTGGGGTTCTTTTATTCTTAAGCTATTGGTCTATGTATTTTCATGGCATTATTGCTAGCATACAACATAGCAAAAGACTATGTTTAAAATTAGCCTTTGAACAAGAGGAAACAGCAGTAAAATTAACTCTCTAAAAGGCTCCAGACCTTAATGACTCTTGGATTTTAAAACCCTTAGAAAATTTTATGTGTGATTAAATTGAAGACTAAAGAATTAATAGAAGCACCATCTATTAATTTGTGTTTAAATTTGGCCAAAGTCTATTTTAGCATTTGGAACAGAAAGCACGGGATTATTACTTGGACTTGCTGTCTAAATATAAAAATTGTACTCAAGCTTGAATGCTTTGAACAATAATTATCAAGTAAACGACTCTTAGAACACTGACATTGTGACTACTCTATGTTTTGTTGTTTGGTTTTGCCTAATTGTTTCTCAGGTCTTGCTGATTCTATCCTGAAACATGTGCCCATCCTCTTCCCCTCCAGCCACTGCTCTGAGTTCATCTCTCCCATGGATCATTGGGAGAGCCTCTTATATCTTCTTGACCTCCAGTACTAGCCTTTTGCAAACAAAAAGTGAAAAATAACAGGTTCAGTAAAAGTAAAAAAGTAACAGGTTCAGTTTATCTCTCAGTCCTTAGCAGTGACATGGTCCACAACTCGCCAGAAAAAATCGAAAGCCTTGGCTGGCCATGCAAGGTAGCCACTGCCCAAAGTGGCCACCACAATTCCCACCTTCCAACCCACAGAAACCCTCATGATCTCTCCTTCTTAAAGTTCCTATAGTCCTGGGAATTTTCCATAATATGTCAATCTTCTTGGCTTTCTACTTGCTGGACACTGGGTGTACTGGTCACCACATTAGTGTGTTCTTACATAACTTTTATTATATACAGTGAGATTCCAGATTATGTGAGTGCTATGATTTAGATATGGTTCAAGTGTGTTTCCCAAAGAAGGGCACGTGTTGGAAACTTGATCCCTATGTGGCATGTTAAGAGGTACCGGGATCTCTAAGTGGTGGCATCTAGTGGGACGTCATTCGGTCACTGGGGGCCCTTGGGAGAGATAAGGATAGTTCTCATAGGACCCTGATTTAGTTCTTGTGAGAGAGCTATTACAAAAAAGCAAGCCTAACTCCCCTTTGCTCTCTCTGACTTCCTGGCTTGCAGAGTGATTTGTTTCTCACCTGCACATTCCCACCGTAAGGTCTTCACTACAGTGAGTTAATGACAATGACCTGCCCTTAAGCCTCCAGAATACTAGTTAAATAAACCTCTTCAAAAAATACCCTGTCCTAGGTATTTCATTATAGTAACAGAAAATACTGGACACTAGAGTCTGATATTAAAGTTAAGGTCAAAATTATCTGGGAAATTTTTTGTGTCACCAACACATAGAATAAATATGATTCAAGATATAAAGAAAATCACTAGTTCTCTAGATGGAACAAAGAAATATTTTTCTTGTTGAATACTGATTGAAGTAGTTGACTTATACTGAGGAATTTTAGAGGAAATTAATTTATGGTAGACTTCAGTTTCCTTATGGAACAAAAGAGTTAAATCACATAAGCACTAAACATTAGGTTCAGATTTAGTATTCTACACTAAGAAAAAATATAAGTACTAGACAGAAAAAACAAAAGTTGTTGTGCTTGGGATACTTTGGAAGACAAGTGTAGCAGGAAGGGGAAAATTTGCTTGGTAGAACTTTAAAAACCCAGGAATTTTAGTCAGACTAGCTTAGAAGTTCTGTTCCTCCAAAGAGGAGCAGCAAAAAGCAGGAAGATCAGGAAGAAGCACCAAGAAGATGGGAGGCAGCAAGATGGCGGACCATGGCATGGCAGCATATGGTGCTTTCCCATACTTCCTCCAGGCTTCAGGGAAGTTACTGACCCAGGCCTTTAGGTACCTGGAGTTTCTGAGGAAAACAGCACAAAAGCAGATGTATAACTTAGGACTGGACCCAGAAGGCAACCAGGTTGAAGAAATACTTCACAGAAAACCTTTTAAAACAATTATGTCAAGAAAACTGCGAGAAATAGAAGAGAGAATGAGGGTTTAATCAAACTGTGTGATTCCTGTCAATCTCAGACATTTTTCAATAATGCTTCTGGGGCAGAGAGTGGGAGGGAGATCATAAACCTAAAGCTATGATTTTCTCCCATCCTAATGAATCAATTTTCCAGAGTAGTGAGTTTCAATTCCCTCCAGACTATTTCCAAAGGACTCTTTCTGTTCAAGAGAAACTATGCTTCTGGAGAAAACTCATTTTGACTCTTCCCCCTTGGAGTAGTTACAGCAGTTTCCACTTGCTAACTGTGGTTACTTTCCTTGCAGGGCGCCTGCAGCTCCCACCACTTCTAACATATCTGTTTGGTTTCTCGCTCCTTGTTAGGTGGAGCTTGTGGTCTGTATTAGGTTTTCCTCGTTGTGAACAACATCCTAACTGAGCTCTGGAGAGCAGTCATTTAATCAATATGCATACGGTGCTTATCTTCCATTTTACACTGTGAGAGCTAAAGAGAAATATCTGTCACGATCCGTGCCCTCATGTGTTTATGACTCTGGAAAACATAATCATTTGTAGCAATAATCAGACAAATCACAGATCACAGCATTTTATAGCTGGACGGAACCTTCCAGATTACCTAGTGCAACACTCATTTTACACAAGACTCTGAAGTTGGGTGGTTTGGGGAATTTGTTCTCCTTTAGGATAATATCCTGCCAGAAACAGAACTAAACATTTCCCTTCCCCTCCATTCTTCTCCCTGCACTCTGAATCTGGGGCTTTTTCTGCTAGACCACAAACAGCATCTGACTAATAATGTCACTCTTTGATCCTGTTCTTAGACTAGGAGTCCCAGACTTTAATTTCCACATGTACCAGGAAGATCACATAAAATAGGGAAATGACTGATATAGGATGTATTTTTGCAACTGATTCATTCTGTTATTCATTAAAAAGGTAGGATTCAGTTTCATTCCTTACCTCCCACCCCCAAAAGCTTTGCCATATTTCTTTCTCTTGATGTTTTTACTGCTCTTGTAGATCTATCTTTTATTTTTTTCATCTTTGGGGTGGAGACCCGAATATAGAAACTATTTCTCCATTAAAGGAAGTAAAAGCAGACTAGAAATATGATAAATGGCAACTGTCCCATGGCTGTCATGGGCCATGACTTGTTTGGGGATTGTACAGGCAGCAGTAAATTGTAGTGTGTGAAGAGACCACCCTACAGTTACTGCCATGCTCATGCGACACTGTGGACCCAGAATGATGGGCTATTTTGATTTTTTTTTCAGAAGAAATTGGAAATCTGTAATTTTAGCAATATCTACTGATTTCTAAATTATTGATCATTGCTTTTAAAGCTATGGAAAACAAACAAAATGTGCCCATTTGATAAGGGAAAACTGAGTGAGATTTGGCTGGGTAAGAGAACACTCAAGATCAATGAGCAAAGTCCTTGAAACAGGTCGAGCTGTGTTCATATCCCATCTCCACCCTTCTCACATTCCTTATTCCCTTTTTAAGTTGCTTTCCCCAGGAAATGGACTCCAAGACTGAGATTTGTGTGTGGGAGATTTTATCAGGCATGTTCTCCAGAGAAGTGTCTGTGAGGAGGAGTAAAATAGGACAGCTAGATAGCAAAGTGGAGCCTCAATTGTTAAGCCAGTGACCTTGGCTGATTCAGGGGACACTATGGAGCTGGGATGCTCCTTTAAAAATGTCCCAAATTAGACAAGGCAGTGTGGGGGGGAATCTTATGTATCCCTGTACTAATGCATCATAAGATGTAGGATCCCCCTCTTCCAGTTCCTGGGGACGGAATAAAGTGTGAGCTATTAGCAGTCAGTGTCCTCAGCAACAGGGACAATAGGTGCCTGGGTCCTGAATATTGGGGCAGTTCTTGGCAATGCATCTGAGCATCTGCTGTGCTCTCTGAGCCTCAGTTTCCTGTTTGTGGCAGCAAAGATAAAAATATTTATCTTCACTGAACATTATAAAAGTAATATATTATTTGCACAGTGACCACCGTTGTACTTGGCAATCATTCAGCATGCAAGAAAACATAATTATCAGTGGATATGAGCCTGAAGTCATTTGAAGGCAAAGGTCAAAGAAATAGAGAGAAACAGTTAAAACAATGTTAGGATATTAAGAAATGTAGAAGATGTACTTGCTTTGGCAGATTATATTCTGAAAAAGAAGTGCAGAACAGTAGTAGGTTTAGCACAAGTATTCACTGGGGACATAGCATGGATTAAGTAGTTTGAGACTGGATCATGCAGTTTCTTTAAAGTTAATCAAGAGGTCAGGATATATAGAGTAGGCAGTGAGGGTCAGAAATG